CTTCAGAAACCTGTTTTTAATGACAGGCTTTAGTTCTGGAACATAGGGGCATATGCAGAGCTCATCCCTACTGAATAACTCTTCCCAGATCCCACATACAGTAGTGTAGTGGCAAATTCGGAAGTGCAGGGTCACAATGAGGGGCAAACTGCTGGCTGCGGAGCCTTGGGTGTAGATAGCTTGTGAGAAAGTCTCCAGCTTGACGCTTCAAGCAGAGCATATAAGAGCAAGAATTGCAACCTTTCCCCAGAACAGCCTGTCTCCGCCTTTCTGCATGAGTCACTGAGAGACGCCTCCTAAGAAGGCAGGTAATTCTGCTGTACCAGGAGCAATGGGATGGAGTGGACTACAGGAGGCAGAGTAGAAGAAGACAGGGGCAGAATGGTGAATCATGATGCAGAGAAGCAGCTAGCAGGTACTCCAGTTGGTACAAACTTCCCCAGCCTGGTCCCCTCCAGATGTTCTGGACTACAACTCCCATCAGCCTCAGCCAGCATGGCACGGGTAACAGTGAAGCAGCTATTTAGGTTGCAGTCAAGCAAGGCAGTGGAAGCTGCCGAGCTCACATTCTTCATGGGAACCATTTTTGAGGAGGCTTGGGCGGGGTAGCCAATGCTATGTCTTTTAGATGTTTCTGGACTTCAGCTCCCATCAGCCCCAGGGAGCATGGGCAATGATCAGGGATGATGGGAACTGCACTCCAGTAATAACTGGAGGGCGCCTTGTTGTCTACCCTGGTCTTGGAGGACTCCCTATCCCAGCTGATCAGCAGGTCTTATACTCTCATTCCTCTTTCATCTCTGAGTGTTTTTTCACCTGGCTAGAATATCTTTTCTTGGCTGGAAGATAGAGAGGGCTTTGTGTGCAGTAAGTTGCCTACTGCAGTATGGTAGAATTCAGATTTGTTGCTCTGTCCACTTTGGCCTCTGTTTTGACCCATTACTGACATGTGGCCCCTAGAAAGTTGCCCAAAGGGGGATGTGGCCCTCAGGCTGGAAAATGTACTAGAATGTTGGTGTCAGTACACAAGGTCCCATAGCTCAGCAAACAAAGTTCAATTTCAATTGCAGATACCGTTTGCTTTCTCCTGGCTGGAGGTGGGGCAGTTATTTGTTGAAAAACCTGGCCTATCTCCTGGCATACCACCGGACACAGAAATCCCTTCTGATAAGGATTCATTAGGAGTGAGGCGGGGAGATGCTTCTCAACTTTTGAACTCAGTTTTAATTTGGAAGTTATTTGGACAACATGGGGTGTGCCTGATTCTTGCTCAGGAGTGTGCCAATCAATCAAGAGATTTTGCTAGAAATTGTTCTTAGAGCTGATAGTTTCCTGCGAGCTGATGAAACCTACAGCTGACTCATATACTCCAAACTAAGATATAATCTGGTGTCGGAAGCATGGAAAATCATTCACTATTTTCCTGCGCAATTAGTCACTTCGATTTAAGCTGACCAAGCTTTTATCGGAACCGCCCAGAGTCTCTGTCTGCATGTTTGTTAGAATGGCTGTGTGTGTCCTATTTCTCTATAGGACGGGCCTCCCTTTAAAGGGCTGTCTGGTTCAGAACTGGTTCAGAGATAAACGGCTATATTGAGGGAGTGCAGAGACCTTGGGGTTGCCCATCAATGCAGTTAGCACCTGGAGAGTAGACTGAACAGGCAGGGACACAGGTCACTTGGTTTTCCTTGCTGTTTTGACATGTATTGCGTTTCTCTGTAAGTTACAGTAATTATTTCTAATTCTGCATCAATACATATAAATTAGCATGTGGAAATCTTAGGCAAATCTGTGAACTTTTTGTCCTGTTTTGGTAATGCGTTTCCTGTGTGATGTGTGCCTTTCGTGGAGGGGGTGGTGATGGTGATGTAAGATGGGCAGTCCAAAGACCCTAGACTACAAGAAAATGGTGACCGACCCCTTATATTGCCTCCCCCTCTTCTTATTTCCCCTCTGTCTGCTTCTTCTGTACAATGAAGTGGTTGTTTCTAGCATCTGATGCCAGTCAGGATGAGGAAACTGACCGAGAGCCCATCAAGGGGGGCAGATTTGTCTTCCTTTGCTTTCCAGAACCAGCCCTATCATTTGGAAGGGTGATAGAGCTGCTTCAGGTGCGGGGTTCAGTGTGGGTGGAAAGTGGCAGCTAGATGTTGGCACACAAAGCTGTGCGTGCCATGCAGCACGCCCCCTACCCCTCAGCTAACCTATTGCCCTCTGGTGTAGCAGGAAATGCTGCCCCATTGACAATGCTGGAGTAAATTTGACCTGCTAGTCAGCTTCTGTGCATGGAATGCAAGGAGGTCCCATTGTATCTTTTTGTCATCTAAGTAACCGAAGCCCAGGTCACAAATTCAAACCTAACTTCTTAAAGATGAACTCAGTGCTGGTTATCTGGGGTTTTCCACTGTTTGGATTTGACATGCTCTTGCTATCTTCTCCTTATTTATTTAATATATTTTCCTGTTTCCCTCTGATATATTTTAAATCTGATGCCGCTTAGCTGCTGAATTCATTTCAGCTCAAAGTGGGGACACTTTAATGAGCAGTGTAGGACAAATCTCTGGTTAATTCCACTTTAGAGTGGAATGCTTTTTTGTCTCTTTAGAATAGCTACCAACAATCCACGGGCAGCTTACCCTGCACAAAGCTGATTCATTTCAATGGAGCTAATGCAGGACTTGTCATAGTCCAGGTCAGACTCTTTGTCTATCTAATCTGTTTTTTAAAAAACAACAAAACACAACTCAAACAATTTAGTATCATCAGCAAACTTGCCTGTTCACTCCTAGCTCTACATTGTTTACAAACAAGTTAAAAAGCACAGGTCCTGATACAGATCCCCAAATGACCCTGTACTCTACTTTCTACATCTCCCCATTTGGAGAACTGTCCATTTGTCCTTACTGCCTGCTTCCTGCTACTTAACCAAGTCCTAATCCGTCAGAGGACCTCTCCTCTTATTCCATGACTGCTAAGCTTACTCAGGAGTCTTTGCCGAGGTGCCTTGTCAATAGCTTTTTTGAAACTCCCAAGTATACTATGTCAATCGGATCACTTCTCTCTATTGTTGTTTATACTCTCAAAGAACTCAGACATGCTGTCTCTGCTTCAGCAAGGCTTGCATTTCTTAGGATGCTTCATATTTAAGAATATTTTCCACCAGTTTTCCCAGGAGAGATGTGAAGCTAGCTGGCTTGTAATTTCCATTATCCACCCTGGATTCCTTTTTATAAATTGGTGACTACTTTCCAGTCTTCAGGGAATCCCCATGCATAGAATATCCCCCCTCCCTCAATTTTTGTGCGCTCCAGTTATTTTGAACTACAGCTCCCATCATCCCTCATCATTGGCCATTTTGACTGGGGCTGATGGGAGTTGTAGTCTAAAATATCTGGAGGGCACCAGGCTGGGAACACATTATATGTAGGGCTGCCTCTGAAGAAAGTTCAGAAACTTCAACTGGTGCAAAATTCGGTGACCGGGTTACTCACTGGGGAAGAAGGTTTGAGCATATTACATCAATCCGGCTCCGACTCCACTGGCTGCCAATTAGTTTCTGGGCCCAGTTCAAAGTGCTGGTTTTGACCTATAAAGCCTTAAATGGCTCAGGACCACAATACCTCAAGGACTGCCTCTTCCCATATAAACTGACCCAGACTCTGCATTCATCATCTGAGGCCCTTCTTCATGCGCCTCCCCCGTGAGAGGTCTGGACGGTGGGAACACAAGAACGGGCCTTCTCTGCAGTGGCTCCCCATTTGTGTGGAATGCTCTCCACAGGGAGGCTTGCCTGGCACCTTCATTATACACCTTTAGGTGCCAGATGAAGACATTTCTCTTCAAACAGGCCTTTGGCTGATTGACATCCGATGCCCTTTTAAATGTGTTGTGGGAGGAGGAAGATTATTGGTTTTGGTTTTTTTCTTATTTTTATTATGTATTTTGCATTTTTTATACTGTGATTTTATGTTGTGAACCACCTACAGATGAAGGGTGATATACAAATTAAATGATAGATAGATAGATAGATAGATAGATAGATAGATAGATAGATAGATAGATACCAAAACATTCAAGTTCACATTAAGCCTTAAATTTAAGGTTTAATTTTTTTTAAAAAAGTGCCCAATGTCTAGCAGCACCATTCTACCCACGTCTACTCAGAAGTAAGCCCTACTGAAGTCAGTGGAGCTTACTGTCAAGTGAACAGGGTTAGGACTGCAGCAGAAGCTGTCTGTGGGCTGCTTCCCTGCAGGCTTCATTGAATGACATTTCAGCAGCAATAAAACAGCCTTTCATAACAGGGGAGGAAGAAGGAGGTCATCCTTAATTGATTCCTGCCTTCTGTGCATTTAGTGGCTGAGTGAGTCATGAACAGGGAGCTGCTGATAGATGGGGAATAAAGTGTGGTGTTTGTTGTTGCCTTTCATTCTGCTTTTTTTGGATTCTTCGTATATTTCTTATATGCCTGCCATTCGAAGGGTGTATTAATAACAGATGTTTTCTAACTAACTGGCAATAAAAAATGTTACAATATTTAAAATGGTTCCAAGTTCAATCCTGGAGGGGATAGATGTCACTATGATAATCAACCTGATCTTTAAATGCAGTGGCTAAGAAAGATACGTCTTAGTGGAATAAGCTTGGAGATTCACGTTTGGGTTAGGGCCTGCTGTTGCTGGCACCAGTTTAACAGCCCTGCTCTTTAGCACGCCTGACACCAATATCTTAGAAATGATGGAAGTGGAAATTTAAGGGGTGCGTTTCTGCTCATTAGTGGTCTCTTCATGATTTATGTGGATTTCCCCCCATTTGGTTGTGTACTTTTTGATGTTTGGTTTATGGTTTATGACTAGTCCTGTTACGTTTGTAGTTATGTAATTTTTTATGTGTTGTAAGCTGCTTTGACCTTTGGAAAAGTGGCATACAAATAAATGACGGATTGAACGAGTGATACCAAATTTCTACACCCAACCTTCATTTTGCTCTTTCCATTCTAGATACTGCAGGAACAGCAATAGATGTGTAAGTATATATCTTTTGCATTGTCTACAAAATATTTTCAATTATCAAATGATTACCTGAGCCAGTAACCATCTCATGATAGCTTCTAACCAGGGTTGGCAGGTTTTAAGTAAAGCTTCCGTTGTAACCTTATTAGTTGGGAGCAGGCTCCATTGAATTCAAGAAATCTTGAGGTCTCTGGGCAGATGGGGATATGATAGGGCACAGCACTTGAACCAGGCTCTCATCAACCGTGGATTGTTGTGCAGCTGGTGAAAAAGTTGTCCATGCTTGAAGGTCCACAGGACCCCTCCCCACACAGGCTCACCACAATGCACTCCATAAGGAGGACATGACTGGCCCCCTTCCTGCACTGACCAAACAAAGAGAGGGTAGTGGGTTGCGACTGTGGCATGCATCAGTTGTGGAGGTGGGGCTAGCCTTGGTGTGTGCCCCCCCCACAATTATTTCAGCATGTGGAAGGTGTGCGTTGAATGAACCTGCCTTCCGTTTTTTCTGCACCTGAAGAAAAACTCAGCTTGCCTTATTTTATTAATGCTAGCATTAAATCACTGAAGCAAATTTGTTAGTATCTGTTTGAAAGGTTTTTCTGTCTTGCTGGGCATGAGTAGAGTGCTTGCAAAAGAAATCACATTGCATTGGGCTGTGTTTCTGCTTTCGCCTGCCTGCTGCCTGGACCTCAGTATTCCTAGCTGGTGATTCAGGATTATTTGTTTGTTTGCTGCATTTATGTCCCATTTTTTTCTGCAAAGAGCTTAAGGCGGCATGTATTTTTCACTTGTTTCATCCGCACAATGACCCTGAGAGGTATATTAGGCTGAGAGTGAGTGGCAGGCCCAAGGTCACTCAGTGAGTTTCATAGCTGACGGGGGGGGGGGAGGGAATTTGAACCCTCCCAGTTTGACACCCTACACCGCACTGGCTGTATCATTTTCATCACCTCTATCACCGCAGATGCAACCACTTCGGAACCTGGAAATTATTCTTTGTGTGTGGCCAAGTGAGAAAGCAGAAGGGGTCCTTGCGCCTTTCACAGTTGTCCACATAAGGGAATTTCAATGACTTGCATGTCCAGATACACCTGTTGAAATCTCATTTTCTACACAACCGTGAAATGTTCAGGTGCCAAGTGCATAAACAACTCCTGCTGAAATTCCCTCTCTGCCTGCTGTGCTTTCTCTTGGGGCTCCTTAATTAATAGAGCAGATGTTAAGTGGATGATGAAAGCAGTGGGGTGGTTAAGGAGGAGCAGCTGGACTGCAATAAAACCACAAGTCCCGGGTAGCTAATTATAGCAGTAATGAACGTCCTAGATCCATCATTCTAGGAGCTTTTTCTAAGAGTCAGTCACCAGGCAGGAAGGAACGATGAAATATGTAGATGTATAAAATACTAGTTTGCCACCTTTTTGTAGACGGGAGCTTTCCATAGCTGCACAACAATAGGTGAAGCCTTTGCTGATGTGGAAATGCAGTGAAGGGAAGATGGCCTGCACCTGTTGAATTCTACCTGTTGTGTTAAAGGTACAGAGCCTCTTTTCTTTTTTCTTTTGAAGAAACAAAGCATCAACACCATTTTTAAAAATGCATTAAAGAAATTGTGTCAATAGTAGCTTTCCAGGCCCATCAATTTACTTACAAATACACTTACATTTAAGCATCATGGTAGCTGACAACCTTATAGATTTGGATGAGATCATTCAGATTTGCAACTTTGCGGGGGGGTTTAATGTATTGAGTTGTATCCTATGTTGGCCTTACTTAGAATAGACCTGTTAAAATCAATGGACATGATTAACTTTTGTCTATTTCATATGTAAGTACTTTGATATAAGACTTAATTTTAAAGTGTTTTAATAGACGATTGATTGATTGAGTACCCCACTCATCTCATTCTGTTGCTTCAACTACTTGGGATGGCTTCCAGCATGAAAACACAATAAAACATTAAACTTTATAAACCTCCCTACACAGGAGTGCATTTAGGTGTCTTCTGAAGGTTGCATAGTTACTTATCTCCTTGACATCTGATGGGAGGGCGTTCCACAGGGCAGGTGCCACTACTGAGAAGGCCCTTTGCCTGGTTCTCTCAAACCTCACCTCTTGCAGTGAGGGAACCGCCAGGAGATCCTCGGAGTTGAACTCTCAGTGTCTGGGCTGAACCATGTGGGTAGAGATGCTCCTTCAGGTTTACAGGGCCGTGGCCATTTAGGGTTTTAAAGGTCAGCAATAACACTTTGAACTGTGCTTGGAAACGTACTGGGAACCAATGTAGGTCTTTCAGCACTGGTGTTATATGGTCCCAACAGAAGCATAGCCCTCTTTCTGTGCTGTGCTGTGAATACTAGATTATTAATGCTTGATGTTTAGCTGTGTTTTTATATTATGTTGGAAGACACCCAGACTGGAGCAAACCTGTCAGATGGATGGGGTATAAATAAATTAGTATTATTAATATTATTATTATTCAACTTCCGAAAATGTTTGACAACCAAGGCGCGGCTTCCGATTGGCTGCAGAAGCTTCCTGTACTCAATCGGAATCCGCGTCGGACGTTCGGCTTCCAAAGAACATTTGCAAACTGGAACACTCATTTCTGGCTTTGCGGCGTTTGGAAGCCAAAACGTTCAAGTTGCAAGGCGTTCAGGATCCAAGGCACGACTGTATTTGAAACTAAAAACAAGAAGCTTTAACACCACCATTGAATTGTTTCTATTTCTGAAGGGCTCTGGACTGAGAATTTTTGGACTGAATAAAAGAAAGGCACATTTGTGGAATGCACCAAGGGATATTTAATGACATCATAAAGTGGATGGGACCTCAAAGCTTGCCAGAGACAATAGAGCTTGAAATATTAGAGGGAAAACAGAAAAGCCGAAAAGCCCTGAAACTTCTTCCTTCTCAGTGGAGACTGGCAGGGTGGAAGGCAGAGATGCCAACAGGTAGTGGAGCCAGAGCAGATGGCTGGTTGAACTAGAGCCAGCATGTCCAGTGGTTAGGGGTGATGGGTATTTTAGTCTAGCAACATTTTGAGAGCCAGAAGTCCCCTCCTCCTGCCCTAAAACTTTCAAATTCCAGAAATAGCCTGTGACCAGAAATGGCAGTTGTTAAGTTGTGGGTGAACACAGCGATTCTTCAAATAGCTCTTGTTTATTCAGAGGCCAGAACAGAACTGAACTGAAGGGTTCAGTCAGCCTGCTTATATAGAGTTCCAGCACAACGTAAATGTAACAATTTTCTAAAACTATCCAATCACTGAACGTCACTTTCGATCCCTTATTTGCATAACGATCTACAGTATCCCCCTGCTGGCCCAGGGTGAGAACTTCAGTACATAACAGCAGTAATAAATTTTTGAGGAGGGGTGTCATTCCCGAGATAGAGATAGCAATGTGGGTGGCAGTTCTGCTTCCAGAAATGTTGCACACGGATATTGCATGTAAGCTAATGGAACTTTGAAAGTTAATAGCAGCTGTCAGGAAACTGACATCGGAACAGAGTGGAGAGGCTAGGCTCCCCAATGATGCCGGAGAGGGAACCAGTACAGGGGTAGAGAGGACTTCCGCTGGGGAAGAAAGGCAAGGTGACACAAGGAAGAAAGAAGGGATTGAGAGCCTTTCGGAGGGGAGGCTCCGAGACTCTTCTAGTGAAGTCAGTGAGCAGAGTGGAGGACCACCGATAGGCACGCCCACTCTGCGCAGAAGGCTGCCGCGCAGAGAGGCTAGAAGAAGGCTGTCCGTTAAGGAATTTTTATGCTGGAGGAAGTTTAGGAAACGCCCGCTGACGGATTCTGCCAGCGACTGAAGCAGTTGTGCCCAAGGGGGGCTGCTCAGCCGGGGAAAAAAGCAACCGCATCCAGCAGTTTGGAGCAGGCGGAGGTTACACACAAGCAACCCCAATTCCTATGATAGCAGCCAACTTGTTTTTTTTTGTAATTTTAATTTGCTTTAAGCTTAAAATATTGTGTTTAATATTACTGTGTTTTAATTGTTGTAACACACCCTGGGACCTTAGGGTGAAAGGCAGGTAATAAATAAATTGTAGTAGTAGTAATTATTAATGTGTGTGGTAATGATGATAACAATAACAATAACTTTATTATTTGTAACCCACCCATCTGACTGGGTTGCCCCAGCCACTCCGGGCAGCTTCCAACAAATATAACAGCATAATAAAACGTCAAACATTAAAAACTTCCCCATACATTGCTGCCTTCAGATGTCTTCTAAAAGTTGTATAGTTATTTATCTCTTTGACGTATGATGTGAGGGTGCTCCAATAGCCGCACATCATAGCAACCAGAGTTGTGATTTTGTTAAAGTAGTCTTTACAGTCGAGAGCTTTCAACTTTGCATTTAGGAATTCATGAGAACGCTTTGCCTCCTGCTGGGAACAAATAGATCAGCCCTGCCAGATGTTTTGGACGGCAACTCCCATTACCCCCAGCCCACACAAGCTATCAGTATTCGCTAAGGTATTTCTTGAGTGTTTAGACATTCACAAAATCTGACTGGGATTGTTGACGGACGCATGTGAATACTGACCTTCCCCAAAGTTTGGAGATTGGCTGTAATATATAAACTGCCACAGTAATAATTCCTACATTAGTTATCTCTGGAGAGGAGAATGCTATGCAGAAATGTTCCCCAAGGACTCATGTTCACAAACCTCCCCTTGTCCTTCATTCAGTGCTTCTCTGCAGGCCTTGAGGCCCCTGGCAAAGTTATGGTGGGGTTCATGTGTCCTGTTTCACCATGGGCAGTCCTCTATTTGAAGGGCTGCCTGAGAAAGGAAAGCAGGGGCACTGAAGTTACCCATCGAAAGTATAACCTCCACTGTAGTGAAAAGTACTACATTTCTATTTAAATTACAGTGGTACCTCTGGTTACGTACTTAATTTGTTCCAGAGGTCCGTTCTTAACCTGAAACTGTTCTTAACCTGAAGCACCACTTTAGCTAATGGGGCCTCCCACTGCTGCTGCGCCGCCGGAGCACAATTTCTGTTCTCATCCTGAAGCAAAGTTCTTAACCTGAGGTACTATTTCTGGGTTAGCGGAGTCTGTAACCTGAAGCGTATGTAACCTGAAGCGTATGTAACCTGAGGTACCATTGTATAGTCATCATTTCTGGGGTAAGAGCCTGGGCAGTGTGTGGAGGTTCTGGGCTGCCCAAACGACAAGACCCCCTTCTCAGTCTCACTGATGTGGTCCAAAGGAAAACAGGGCAGTTTGTTTGATGTCCTCTTGGCTGCAGGAGTTGTTGGAAGGAGGTTACCGTTCCTCTTTTTTAGTGATGCATACGCGACATCCCCCTCATAAAGTGCCCTCTAGTGAGCTCCTTCCTCTGCTGGTAAGCCTACTTGGCTTGCGTTGTTGCAGCTGCACTCTGAGCAACACACTGAGCAACATGTTTGAGAGCCTCACTATGTTTCAATGTCCACAATAGTCCAGAGACATACTGCATCAGGGGCCTTGTGGGAAATGCCTGGAGCCTGGAGCTGTTTGGGGCAGCTATGACTTTCTCCTATTTCTGTCAGCAGAAGGCTCAATGAAGTAAGAGAATGAGTCATTGGCAAATACAGTCAAACTTTGGTTGTCGAACGTAATCCGTTCCGGAAGACCATTCAACTTCCGAAACGTTTGACAACAGAGGCGTAGCTTCCGACTAGTTGGAAGAACTTGTTGCACACAAGCAAAAACACCTGCGTCAGACATTCAGGTTTCGAGAAATGTTCAAAAACCGGAGCATTTACTTCCGGGTTTTCGGCATTTGGGAGCTGAAACGTACAATAATGGAGGTGCTCGGGAACCGAGGTTTGACTGTAGAAGTTTAGCTATCGACAGAAAGCGTTGGGTGGGGAATCTAAAACTGAGTTTCGACAATCTATTTTGTCATTTATGTCATTGCAGAACAGAAGAGTCAGTGTCAGAAGATGACAAGAGGAGGTATGTTGCTGTGGATTGGGGTGAAGTTGTACGATCCAAAATGGATTTCCGTTTCATGAGGAAAGAACACAGGGAAAGGGATGGTTTTTAGGTTATTATCCCAAACCAACAACTGTATTTTGGTTTAGTTGCATGAGCAGAGATTCCTAGGGAGTTTAGCTGCACGCGCCCCCCCTCCCCAATATATTGTTGTCATCTCAACCTCTACTTCAGTGTTTCCCAACCGGTGTTCCGCGGCACACTAGTGTGCCGTGAGACGTTGCCTAGTGTGCCGTGGGAGGGAGGCGGGCGAGTCGGGCGGCGAGAGGCGGGGCGGCGGCGGCGAGCACACGCGGGGCAGCGAGCGAGCGAGCTCCCACATCCCATCGCCGCGAATGCAGGCTTTCGCTGAAGCCTGGAGAGCGAGAGGGGTCGGTGCGCACCGACCCCTCTTGCTTTCCAGGCTTAAGGAAGCTATCCCCCCAGCCGCGCAAGCTCCCAGAGCGATGCCAAAGCTGCGAGCACCTTCGCCATCGCTCTCCGACCCGTTCGGGGGGCTGGGGACGGGGGAAGCTCCGGCTTCCCCCGCCCCCAGCCCGCGCAAGGTCCCAGAGCGATGCGGAAGGTGCGCTCACCTTCGCCATCGCTCTCCGACCTGCTCTGGGGGCTGGGGACGGGAGAAGCTCCGGCTTCCCCCGCCCCCAGCCCGCGCAAGGTCCCAGAGCGATGCGGAAGGTGCGCTCACCTTCGCCATCGCTCTCCGACCTGCTCTGCGGGCTGGGGACGGGAGAAGCTCCGGCTTCCCCCGCCCCCAGCCCGCGCAAGGTCCCAGAGCGATGCGGAAGGTGCGCTCACCTTCGCCATCGCTCTCCGACCTGCTCTGCGGGCTGGGGACGGGAGAAGCTCCGGCTTCCCCCGCCCCCAGCCCGCGCAAGGTCCCAGAGCGATGCGGAAGGTGCGCTCACCTTCGCCATCGCTCTCCGACCTGCTCTGCGGGCTGGGGACGGGAGAAGCTCCGGCTTCCCCCGCCCCCAGCCCGCGCAAGGTCCCAGAGCGATGCGGAAGGTGCGCTCACCTTCGCCATCGCTCTCCGACCTGCTCTGCGGGCTGGGGACGGGAGAAGCTCCGGCTTCCCCCGCCCCCAGCCCGCGCAAGGTCCCAGAGCGATGGCGAAGGTGCGCGCACCTTCGCCATCGCTCTCCGACCTGCTCTGCGGGCTGGGGACGGGAGAAGCTCCGGCTTCCCCCGCCCCCAGCCCGCGCAAGGTCCCAGAGCGATGGCGAAGGTGCGCGCACCTTCGCCATCGCTCTCCGACCTGCTCTGGGGGCTGGGGACGGGAGAAGCTCCGGCTTCCCCCGCCCCCAGCCCGCGCAAGGTCCCAGAGCGATGCGGAAGGTGCGCTCACCTTCGCCATCGCTCTTCGACCTGCTCTGGGGGCTGGGGACGGGAGAAGCTCCGGCTTCCCCCGCCCCCAGCCCGCGCAAGGTCCCAGAGCGATGGCGAAGGTGCGCACACCTTCGCCATCGCTCTCTGACCTGCTCTGGCGGCTGGGGGCGGGGGAAGCTCGGGCTTCCACCACCCCCAGCTCCTGCAAGCTCCGGGAGCAATGGCAAAGGTGCGCTCACCTTCGCCATCGCTCTCGGACCCTTTCTGGGGGCTGGGGGTGGGGGAAGCTCTGGCTTCCCCCACCTCCAGCCCCGCAAGCTCTGGGAGTGATGGCGAAGGTGCGCTCACCTTTGCCATCGCTCTCGGACCCTTTCTGGGGCTGGGGGCGGGGGAAGCTCTGGCTTCCCCCACCTCCAGCCCCGCAAGCTCTGGGAGTGATGGCGAAGGTGCGCTCACCTTTGCCATCGCTCTCGGACCCTTTCTGGGGGCTGGGGGCGGGGGAAGCTCGGGCTTCCCCCACCCCCAGTCCCGCAAGCTCCGGGATCCACTCTGGCTCCCATTCTGGGGGCTGGGGGTCGGGGGAAGCTCGGGCTTCTCCCGCCCCAGCCCCGCGTCTGGGGGGGGAATAATTTTTTTCCCTTTATTTCCCCCCCAAAATCTAGGTGTGTCCTATGGGCCGGTGCGTCCTATAGGGCGAAAAATACGGTAGTCAATATAGGCACAGAGTTAATTTTTTAAACATTTTCTAATGGTGGTGTGCCTCGAGATTTTTTTCATGAAACAAGTGTGCCTTTGCCCAAAAAGGTTGGGAAACACTGCTCTACTTTACCCCCTGATGCTGGGAAACAGTCATAGCACAGAAGCAAATTAAGGACCTTTCTTAGAGTAAACAATAATGCATAGAAGGCCTGTGAGAGGCCACATTCTTTAAACAGAATGTTTGATGGAAAACTGCTGTAGGTTATTCAAAGAGACTCTTAAGAGGGGAGGCTACAGGGTTAGAGCCCTTCCCCCAATTAGCTGAGCCTCCCTCCGCATGTTGATCAGGCAAACAAGATGGCTGTGCTAGTGAACCGTCAATTGGTAATAGTCAATTGATCGGTTGGTGCAGTCCGTTTTCTATGACCAGCTGCACAATCTGGCTTGCTATGCCTTGAGAGCTGAAATCTGCTGTGGATAGAGAAACTGAGCTACTTTCTTGAGAGGGAGAGTTGAGGCTGAGAATAAAGAGGCTGAGCCTAAAATAGTGAGCTGCTTCTGCCATTCTGTATAACATTCAAGAACTGTGTCTTATCTGAATCGTTGGGATCCATTTTGAATTTTTTTAATAATAATAATAATAATAATAATAATAATAATAATAATAATAATAGTTATTTATTTATACTTCGCCCATCTGGCTGGGTTCCCCCAGCCACTCTGGGCGGCTTCCAACCGAATATTAAAAACAATACAGTGTCAGAGATTAAAAACTTCCCTAAACAGGGCCACCTTCAGTTGTCTTTTAAAAGTAAAATAGTTGTTTAATTTTTAATTTAATTTAATTTTTAATGCAAGACTGGATCACCTTGAGCAAGGGGTTGATCCCAAACAGGCAAAACGGAGACTGGAGCAAGCAGATTGCTTGGAATCATTGAATCATGGAAATTGGAAGGGACCCCAGATATCAGCTACTCCAACCCTCAGCTAAAGAATCCTCAACAGATGGCCACCCAACCTCTGCTTAAAAACATCCAATGAAGGAGAGTCCACCACCTTCTGAGGGAGTCTCTTCCACTTTCAAACAGCTCTTACCACCAGAAAGTTCCTCCTAATGTTTAGTTGGAATCTTCTTGTAATTTGAATCCATTGGTTTGGGTCCTACCCTCCAGAGCAGGAGAAAACAAGCTTGCTCCGTCTTCCATGTTGCAGCCCTTCAGATACTTGAAGACTGCTATCATATCTCTTCCGAAAAGCTGCATTATCTAGCATATTGAATTTTACCTCTGCAATGAACACACAAGGTCACCTAAAGCAAGCTACTCCCTTCCACTCTCTGTCTCCCCCCTCTTACATGATGGATGGTAATAATGCTAACTTGGATTGGGTTGTTGTGCCGATTGCAACCAGCTAACATGTGTGAAATGCTTTCAACACTTGAAAAGTCCTATACAAACGTTAAAGTAGTTAATTTTGCTGCTATTAGTATTAGGTATACTCTCAGTTTAAGTTATGGTTTTCATGTCGGTGTTTTTCCATTCCATTAAGGAACTATGGAGGTGTTTATGTGGGTCTCCCAGCTGATGCGGCTACCAAGATTTCCACCCAGTCAAAGACGGCGTCTCAAGGTACTTCTTAAAAAGGTGTGTGCTTTTAGTGTTTCCAGTGTGCTAGCATCTCTAATTTATCACAGCGCTAAGATCGTTGTTTTGGTGTTTGAAACTATTAACCAATTAGAAGCCATTTGGTATATAAGCAGCAAACAAACAAACAAACAAACAAGGCAGCTATGTTCACTGCTTAGATTGTATTAGATCAGTTTGGTGAACACTTCTGTTCAATGACTACCAAGCACTGTAGCATCTGAGAGGGTCCTTCCCAAAGCCTAGTTTGCGCTCTCCCAGCTTTCGGAAAGAGGGCTCTAGGACCCTGCCAGAGCCTCACACCTCCTTCCCAAAGCCCAGTGCCCACTTAGCCAGCTTTGAGAAAGCAGTGTGAGGGCTGGGGGAGGACATCAGATTTTGGCCTCACTCCCCCCACCCCATATAACAAGGGTTCCACGTCAAAGTACTCTCTGAAAAGTTGGGCTGCGCTAATATAGTTTAACACCATTTGAGATGCTGGAGCAGGGGTGAGGAACCTCTTTCAGCCTGAGGGCTGCATTCCAACATGGGCAACCTTTGGGGGGCCACAGTGGGTGGGGCCAGAGGCAAGAGTGAGCAAAGCAACAGATGTGTCTTTTATCTTTGTGCAGTAGTCCACATTTGCTCTATGCAAAATTCAGAGATTTCTAAACACACACACATACATCCATTCTCCATCAAAGTCAGCAGGAGCCATTAATCACAGTTCAAGGACATATTCCAGCCAGGCAAAAACACTTTTGGACTAGCATAGAGTAGGGCTAGTGAGGTGTGTAGCCTGAGGAAAGTGCTGAGGGCTGGACAGAGATGCTTGAAGGACCTGGGCCTGAGGTTTCCCATCTCTGCTCTTGAATGCCTATGACCTCATTGTAATTGCCCCATGTACAGTATATGCATGCTTCCTACATCACCACTGTGAGTCTTCAATCTGCTTCCTTTAATTTGTATCTGGTTTAAGTTTTACATATGGGTGACCATGACAAATGGGGGTTGCCAAACTTCCCCCTAGCAGAGTTTGCTGGCTGGAAAAGCATGATGTAATAAAACAAATAAACTACTAAATAGAATAGTATTAGTAGTACAGTGGTACCTCGGTTTTCGAATGTCCTGGAAGCCGAACGTTTTGGTTTTTGAATGCCGAACACCCGGAAGTAAATACTTCCGTTTTCGAACACGCCTCGGAAGTCGAATGGCTTCCGCTGCGTGGACATGTTATTTCCCCCTGTTTTCTGTAGACCACCCTTTGCGCCTCTGTTTTCAAACGTTTTGGAAGTCGAGTGGTCTTCTGGATTGGATTACGTTTGAAAACCAGGGTACCATTGTAACTGTATCAAATGTGAATCTTCAGGGCATTGCTACTTCAATCACAACTGGCCCGCCTGCAATAGAAAGTTCTTTTACCCCCTGGATTATGGTCCTTATTACTCATGCAACATTTCTCTCCCAATCAGTTATCTGCGTAGACCATTCTTCGCAATGGAATTCAGAGCTGCCTTTCGGCTGAAGATTGCATAGCCAGAAGCATGAAGCCACCAAAAAGCTTCTTGGCAGTGAAAGTTACAACGGCCGATCAAGAAGCTGGATGCTCAAAATGGAACCGAAGCGTAGGACTGTGATTTATGGATCTTTTTGATGTCCTCCGGTCAGCGTTAACTAACAGATATATGATGGGTATTTCTGCACAAAAAGCTGACGCTGTTGATCGCCAGCACTTTGGCCGTACTACAGAGTCTACGGATGACAATAGGTCTGTTTTTTCATTTGGCTACTTTTGATAGCTTTTATATAACAAGACCATTACTGCTGTTCACGCAAGTGTTCCTAGGCTAAGGTTAGTGCAAATGAACTATTGATTTACTCCAGAGTAATATATTTGAGTAATATATGCAGGCTACTGCTGTGGGAAATAGGAGTTAGGTACCAATAGGCATTGTCAGCTATTTCTAATTACAACCTACTTTTATACTGTTAACCTGCCACTGATGTTGACATGTCACTTTTTAGAAGTGTAGGAATTGTTCGGGAAAAATTATTTTGCCAGAAATCTATTCAATGAGTTTCCAGCCTACTTACTACCTACTAACGAACTGTCATTTATTTCAGTGAGATGCTAACTTGCCTGCCTCCCTTTCTTTATTTTGTTTTAGTGGCTGAAAATAACCTCTACTTTTACCAAACAATCATGTGTTGTGTCTTTCATTTTGCATACAGATAATAATGATATATGTAAATTAATTTTTTTAAAAATGAACAGAAGACAATGGCAGGAAGGAGCTTGCAAGTGCTGCAGCCAGGCAAATGCTACTCATTTCTTGCAATGAATTTCCATGTAAGTCCCATTCAACTAAATGGCACCTGTTCAGCCACAGTCCTTGATGGACCGTATTCAGTGCAAAGCTTTATAGAGACGATCAAACCTCGAGTTCTGTACACCTCTTAAATCTGGACATGTTCTGATCAGCATCAGAGTTGGTATCTTAATCTTGTTAATGGCAACATTTCATTATGTGAAACTTCATCCCAACATTTCATTCCAACCTCTGCCTTTTATATACCATCCCGTTAAATGTTTTCAGACACAGTTAACTTCATACTGGTGATCTTTCAGTGTAGCACCACTCAGTGTTTCTGCATGGCTGAATATGATGTATTAAATTATTGAAGCATTTTTGCATAACTCTTGTGCTGTCCTTTCTGTTTTGAAGATGGCACCTGCCCCACCAGCTCACTCCCATCATTCATGGTGATTCTGAAATGATCTGATGGACTGCAGTGCTGTGGACCACTTAGTGAATCATGAGCACATACACAGGGCAGGAGTCTAAAGAGATTTAGCTGTAGGGCCACTGTATGACGCTAATAGGTGTTGCACATTATAGGCAACTGCCTTAAACCAAGCCATCTATTCCAGTGTTGTCTATTCTGACTGGCAACAGCTTTCCAGGCTCTCAGGGAATTAAGTCTTCCATGTGGCAGTTTATTGTGGACTCAGTTCTGCTCATGCATACAATTTCCCCCCATAGCATCCACACAACATCCTCATAAAAATGCCACCCCATATCCCTCCCCACTCAGGAGCGATTGTGTCAACAGCCTGAGCCATTTGGATGTTCCAGAGGTCGACCAGGGCTTTGACAGGAGCGCCAGTCATATCAGCACCCTTAGCAAACCACAATTCCCAGGGTTATTTTGAGGAAGCCATGACTGTTTAAAGTGGCATGGCACTGTTTTAAATGTATTATACAGATGGGGCCTTATTAATTGTAAGTGCAGTCTGGTCATAAATTGCCAGGATGAAATAACTTTTGCTGTTTTGTGAAAAAGGCTGCTGTGGAATGTCAGGCGAAAGGAAGCCTTTAACCAGGGGCTTCTCTCTTAAAGGGAGATTCTCTCACACCAGGGAGCAGAACATGCCAGTCATAAATCCTGCATTTCCAGTGTTGTGGAGAATTTGTCTTCTGCACTTTCCCATACATTTTTACTATCTAGATAACACTTGCTTTTAGGGAGACACCAAAGAAGATCTCAGTGTACAAAGAATATATGATTTACAGAAATACAGAAGCAATGTCATATTTTAAGTAGTAAAGTGCTTTACAAGGGAGGCCAAACTCTCTAAGGCAGACAGTCCTTTGTTTCCCAGTCATACTTTCTGTGGTGCAAAGAGGAAGTTTAATCCTAGTTATAGGTTCTGGAACAAGGATTATGTTAGAAATGCCAGAATATGCAATGTTCTTTGAAGGCTTATGGTCTAAAGTGCCACCTCTAATGCAACTCTCTGTCTCTTGTTAACCACTGTTCACTTTCAATGTTGTCTTTGAATTTCTGTCAAATAAGGAATCCTTTTTTTCCTGCTCTTGAAGTTTCCATTACTGGTTTTCCTAATCTTGAAGATATGGATATTTTGAAGTTCAATTCTGGGGAAGAAGGGGGGCAGAGATGAGGGGAAATCATATTGCATGTAGAAATGGGTACTGTCTACATTCTCTGGATCAGTCTCAAACCCATCATGTCTCTACTTGCAGCCTCTTTCTGCTCCAGGCTCTGCTTCCTAGTCCTTGTGACAAACAGATCCTAGTACTGATAATGGTAAACATCAACAATTCTGGAAATGGAGGGTAGTGCCACATGTGCAGTCTCTTCCTGTCACGCCCACTTGCCCAGGAAGGATGCACACATCATGCACTCATGCACAAAACCAATGGACATTAAATTTTTTATTTTTGGAACCACGCTCAACAGGGCAACTGGAGATTCACACACACAAAGCCAGTCATACCTGTTAAAAACTATTAAATTAGCAAGCCTAAATATGAAGCTACTAAAGAAGAAACAATCATAAGAAGGGACCATTGGGTGACAGATATTAGCAGCCTGAATATATTAATTCAAATTTGGTGTGAACAACCCACCTTGCTTTGGAGGAAGGGTTCACCAGCTATGGTCTGCACACCTGATTCAGGTGGTCCATAGCATTTCCACATTGCATATTCCTATTGATTGTATTTTTATTGCTTCTTTTCTTTCTTATGCTGCATTTTATTGTATTGCAATTCCAATATGAAATGCAGTAGAATAAAATATAATTTAAGAAATAAAAGGAGCAGTAAAATTACAATTACAGATCGTACAACGTCCAGCAACAGCAGATTATGATTGCTGCAGCAACAAACAGAAAAAAACAACCCATCACCAATTTTCAAGTGGTCCATGGGAGCGGGGGGGGGGGTGAGTTTGGGAACCACTGCTGTAGATAACTTGTTCACATCTAGCAGGATTTGTGAAAATCTAGTACTGTAACTTCTGAAATGCATTATTTGCACTTTCCCAGCAGAGGGCGGAAGAGCTCCAGCAATAGCAGTAAAACTGGTTTCAGTTGGTCGCCAGGAACACACACTGAGGTGTATGTGTGTCTGCTTTGGAAAACTTGACGGAATATGACTTTTGATTTATTCTAGGTGTGTTATTCCACCCCACCCTTCTCAAAATTATTTTAACCAGGGGCTCTACAGGATCATCAAGTGGGAAGCCTGTAGCCCTCCAGATGTTTTCTCCTGCTCCAGATGGTAGGACTCGATCCAGTGGATTCAAATTAAAAGAAAGGAGATTCTGACTAAACACAAGGAAGAACTTTCTGACAGCAAGAGCTGCTTGATGGTACAACGGACTCCATCGGGAGGCTGTGGACTCTCATTCAATGGAGGATTTTAAGCAGAGGTTGGATGGCTATCTGTCATGAGAGTCCTGCTTTGCAGGACATTGGACTCGATGACTCCTGGGGTCCCATCTAACTCTAACATTCTATGTTGTTGGCCTTTAATTTGCATCAGTCTCAGCGAGCGCAATGAATGGTCAGAGTTGAGGGGAGCTGTGGTCCAGCAACATCTGGAGGGCACCAGGTTCCACACCCTCTTTTGCCTTGATCTATAACTCAAAGCGGGGACACGGGTGGTGCTGTGGTCTAAACCAGTGTTTCCCAACCTTTTTTGGGCAAAGGCACACTTGTTTCATGAAAAAAATCTCGAGGCACGCCACCATTAGAAAATGTTTAAAAAATTAACTCTGTGCCTATATTGACTATATATAAAGTAACTCTCTTTAATAGGAATCAAATAAACACAAAGAAAGTATTTTATAATTACTTTATTATGAAATAGTAAGTAAACAGAAATATGAAAAATTATAAAATACTTTATTCAGTGCGCAACCTGGGCCTGTTTGGCTGAACACAAAGCTGATATTCTGGCTGGAATCGAAGAAAGACACACACGTAGCTCTTCGTCAACAGCTCTCAGTCTCTCTCTGTATTTAGTTTTTATAGCAAATGAAGGAAGAGTAAGCAGGCTGGGGTGGGTTAAGTAAGGGCTGAAAGTGCCTAGATGAAGTGGGGGAAGCTAGAGAGGAGGTACATTCTGACGTTTGAGGATAGACTAGGTTCTTTATGTGAATGATAGGTGAGTTATTTGACAGATCGAACTGAGAGCAAGGTGTGGCTTGTGTAGCTGGGGTGGACATGAATGTTTGGGGTGCAAACCCCAGGCCGGCCAGGTCCGAGGGGGGGGGGGGCAGGGAGAGACGGGCCTGCCTGCCTCTGCCTGCGCTGTGGTGTGTTTTGCCCCGACCGACGGACGGACCGACCTGCCAGCTGTCTCCGCAGTAGCAGCGCGGACTGGAGCTCCGTCATTCTCCCCGCCGGTGCCCGGGGAGGGGAGTGTGGGGCGGCCGCTGTGGAAGCGACGGCGTGCTCCTCCTCCTCCTCCTCCTCTTGCCGGGCTAGAGCCAGCCGGCTAGCGCTCGCCCCTCCTTGCTCGAGCCGACCCCGCCGCCGGGGACCTTCCCGTCCTCTCAGCGGCGCCGCCTCGCGTCCCTCGTCCGGGGGTTGGGAGGGGGCTGGGGGGGAGGAAGGGGGCGAGGGGGAGCAGCCGCCGCCGCTCCTGAGGAGATTCTGAGGCGGTGGCGGGCGACGCGTGGCGGAAGAGGAGGGGTCCCGCCAGCCCCGCGTTTCTCTCTCTCCCTCATGGAAACCTTCCCCTCAGCTTCTGCCGCTTTTTCTCTTCTTTCCCTCTTCCTTTTTTTTTTTTTAAAAAAATGAAAAATCTTTCCTTTCTCTCTTTTCCAGCCCCCCCTCCCCTCTTCACGGAATTTCACTGCACTCGGGCGCCGCGGCGCGCAGGCGCACTGCTCGCTCCTCTTTCCGCGCAGGCGCCTTCTCTCGCTCTTTCGCCTCCTTTTCTTTCTCTCTCGATGGTCCGCCTACAAAGGAGCGAGGGAGGCGCCCGCCATGTTTGGATTTGCATCCAGCAGGAGATGCCGCCGCCGCCCCGCCTCTCGCCGCCCGACTCGCCCGCCTCCCTCCCACGGCACACCAGGCAACGTCTCGCGGCACACTAGTGTGCCGCGGAACACCGGTTGGGAAACACTGGTCTAAACCACAGAGCCTAGGACTTGCCGATCAGAAGGTTGGCAGTTTGAATCCCCGCGATGGGGTGAGCTCCCGTTGCTCAGTCCCTGCTCCTACCAACCTAGCAGTTCGAAAGCACGTCAAAGTGCAAGTAGATAAATAGGTATCAATCCAGTGGGAAGGTAAACGGCATTTCCATGCACTTCTCTGGTTCGCCAGAAGCGGCTTAGTCATGCTGGCCACATGACCCGGAAGCTGTACGCCCGCTCCCTTGGCCAATAAAGCAAGATGAGCGCCGCAACCCCAGAGTCGGCCACGACTGGACCTAATGGTCAGGGGTACCTTTACCTTTACCTTTATAACTCAAAGCATGGGAAAAAGACAAACAAGCTCATGAGCAATCTTTTTATATTCATCTGTTCAGAGGTCATGCTTATGAGCTATTTGTTAAATCTACACTTCAGTGACCCTAAGCTCCAATTTTATTCCATGGAGCAATAAATGTTGCAAAGCACACATATTTTCCTGTATTAACTGAGTATGTATGGCTGGATTTGGTTGCATAATTTATCTCACACTCTCACCCCCTCCCTGCTTTTCCACAATTTTGGGTGTTTTTCAGGGGCAGCCTGACTCCTTTCATATGTTGAAAACCATATCCATGTTGTGTCTGTTTAGCACTCTAGGCGCAATGCAGCAGCTATTTAGCATTAGCGGTGAAGTCTTCCATTTGAATTTCATACTAAGCACAAATTCCTCTCAGGTAAGCCACATTCCCTCATCCTCAGTTCTTCATCAGTGATGAGGATGAGGATACCACACGACCCAAATGGGCTGTCATAGCATTACTGAGATAATGTATGAGTAGCAATAAATGAACAATAATAAGTCCCCCCCCCCGGCTTTACTTTCCAGTCATGACTCATGATTCTCCCTACCGCTGATGGGGGAGAGAGACAGAGGAGAGTGACAGAAGAGTGACACAGCTGGTCTCCAACCTCACACTGTGGGTTAGGTCTAATGGCTATCTGCTACATCATCCTGGGATGCCCTGCCTCTGGACAAGAAACAAGTGTGAAGATGATTTTACTAGGGTGCTGGGCTGCTTCTCTCCGGCACTGCCAAAGTGGAAGGGGCCCACCATAGTTAAGGTGGAAGGGACAGCACAGTTTCAAATTACCTGATAAATGTCTCATGTACTGCAGAAATTAATATTGCTCAGCTTGAAGCGACTGGATGCATAAAAACTGACTCCTTTCGGAATAAAATGTTGCCCAGATTCAAGTTGGATTCAAAGCTTTACATGCAGAACTTAAATCAAAACAGAACAAAAAACGGTAAATGATCCATCCAAACAACTCCGTAAGATCATGTCCAGCATAAGCTCAGCATCTTATATTATGTATTAGCCTTCATCCTGCCTAAGGCTATGTAGCTCCTGGAGAGCTGTTATCACATCTTACTCCCACTCTGGCTGGGAACAAAATGCCAGGGCAACTCCCTTCAAAATGGTGATTTGCAATTCAGTGGTCTTGCATGTGATCTAAGGTTAAACACTCACATGTTCGCTAGCAGAGAACAATAGTGCTTAGAGAGTTCTTCTTGAGCTTCAATGGAATCTTTCAGTTAAACCCTTTCTGCAACATAGGCATTCTCTGTTTCAGTGTGAATTAAGCAATTATACGTAACAACATGCCGGTTAATGCATTTTTATCCCTTATCTTCCCTTAATAGTGCGCATACATGATTCTCTTTCCCCCTTTCACTTTAACTTCATGACAGTCCTGTGAGGTGAGCTAGGTCAGTGTTTCCCAACCGGTGTTCCGCGGCACACTACTGTGCCGTGAGACATCGGCTGGTGTGCCGTGGGAGGGAGGCGGGCGAGAGGCGGCGGCGGCGAGGATCCGGCGGGGGTGGGGGGAGCGGGGGCCGTCGCGCGCAACCGAACTCACTTGG